ACAGAAAAGCTCAGCATGCCTTTTGAAATTAATGGTAAAGGAGGAAGAAAATACAGTGAATGCACCAAAATTTATTTAAGTAGCCATTCATAATGGACAACACGTATTTTTGGTATGAATAAAATGGAATATGGATTTTGTCTGGTTTAGCAGGGTGGATGGCAGAGCTAGGTAGGAAGCCCTGAAACCAGAGATAGAGTGTGGGCAGAGAAGGGAGAAGGGAGGGATGCATGGATGGTGTTCAGAAAGCAAAAGATACGTTCCATGTAGCTCGTTAAGGGGATTTGCGTGTTCAGGTGATGGGGCTGCAATATAGTTAGCGGCTCTCCGAGCAGCAGGGCTGATGCTGGGGAACTGAGGGAAAGGAAGGTACTTGGCAACACACTGAGTGCCTGATGCAAAGCAGAGTGTAACGTGGTTGCATCTTCATACCCTCGTTCCATGCACAGCAGTAATAAGAAATACAGGAAGTGATCAAGAATCTGAAAATACTACAAATTTACTTTCCTTTGCTCTGCTGTGGGTGAGAATGGCTGTTATCCTCCCAGAACTTACTTTCTTTGGAGCAGGCTGAAGGGGACTCTGTTGATGGCACCATGCCTGCGGTCCACTGAAATGCCCAATTCCTTGAAGTGAATGGTTGGACTGAGCTAATGCAGATACCTGACATCTCTGTGCGATGAAAGCAGCAAAATCAATGTGGCAGCGTAAAACATGGTCCGTTTAGATTTAAACTTTTCAGCCAATTTCAATTAATCTTATAGATTGTACTGAAATAGTGATTTTCAACTTTTTTGTATGACATTTAATATTACCCTGACATGTTTCATCATTATTATACCAATCACCTTTACCTGAAGAAAACAAACTGTTTTGCTAGTGTTGAAGGGAGGTATGTTGGAATTTACTCTGAATGAAAGCAAATGTGGAAATGCCAGGATTTCCAGTGGCATGAATGTGTTTATAATGAGTATCCTGTATTTATTATTACTGCTGTGCAGGCCTTGCTTCCTTTCAGCTCTTGGTGATGTGGCTGGCCTAGTGAGATGCTACTGAGCGTGGATAACCAGCCAGCTCATGCAGCGCTGAGCCCTTGGCCTCTTCTGCCCTTTGGGATGCCGGTCTGGCTTTCTTCAGATTAGGTGCCCTTCTCTCAGTGGTGACAGAAAATCAAAGCTCTTAGTGAGAAGGGACAGCAAAAGCCTCTGCACTTGAGATTCTGCTGCTGGCAAACCCAGAAGTCAGTCTTTGCTAACAGGATACAGAATGGGGCTCAGATTTTGGTGGCAGTCAAGTCAATTTGACAAGGAATATGGTGGGCTCAGACACGGGGCAGCAGTTGGTGCCGTGATCTCTCCCTCTTTATTATAGGCAGTGTAGTGAGACCCTCCAAAGGTAACTGTAGTTTTAGGAAATTAATAAGTTAAAAGCCAATGGCAGTGGGGAGAATGAAAAATGGTGTCGTGTGTTGTGGGTCTGCTGTATTGTGAGACATGGCATCACAAAGTTGGGAGCTACAGGGCAAGGGAAATCCTTATTCCTTGGATGTGGCATTGCCATAGACTTTGGTGACAGAAAGAGCTCTCTTCTGCAGGGTGTGGAAGACTGAAGGGATTCCCAGCAATAGAAGTACTGGAGAAGTCACTAATGGGGATCAGTGCTATGTTTCAGATTGCAAAACTGTGCCCATCAACACACTGTCCTTCAAAATTTACAGTGTTCACACCTTCCCTTCAATAATGTTTCACAGCTAGTGCTTATGTTGTGCACTAAGGTAGTTGATATGCTGGATAAATCTCAGCCAAGGGAGGGACAGGTAGTTATGACCGTCTCCTGGAGCATTGGAGGGAGTGGGGAGCCAGCTTCCTTCCCGGCTGTCCTTGCAGCGGCGTACGGGCCGACACAGGTAATGAATTCGTACGTGTGGGCAGAGCAGCCTGTGTGGCTCCGTGGAGTCACGTCTCCTTACCACGAGCAATTGGAGGAGCGTGGGAGGATGGAGCAGGGAGTGCATTAATCTCTTGACTCACCTTCTCATCAGTAAATTCCTTCCTTTGCAGGGTGAGAGGGAGTTAGGGAGAAGAGCTCTGAGGCTACACTGTGTAGCCCTGTTCTTGGCTTACTGGGGCAATGTGCACTCTGTAGGTTCTTCAGCACTGTCAGCTTGCCATGCAGGAAAGCAAGGGTGGGCTGCATCTCCCAGCACTGGGTGTCTGTGAAAAAGGTGCCTGCGTCTGAACCAGGTCTTTAAACCTCCTTTGGAGTTGGAGGTCTCACATATAATTCGTATCGTCCTGACGTGTAAGCCTTTGTGTTATTTGTGTGCTTGACACAGAGCACGGTTGCGCTAGATACTCAGGGTTAAGGGCCGGCATAGGTCTGACCTACACCAAGTGGGAATTTGGCCCAGACTTATCTGTGTCGTGGTCTTTCTTGAAAAACTTCATTCTCTAACTGCTGTCAGACTCTAGGCCTCTTCCAGAAAAGTCCTTTCGGGCATCTCCACGGCTTTGTGCCAGGAACGTTGTGGGGTTACAGCAGTTCACGCCTGCAGTGACTCAGGGGTGGATCAGGCCCCGTGGTTGTAACCAGGTGCCAGCAAACTGCTCAACATCTGATGCGAGTTGGCAGAGTCTCAGTTGGATACTTACACCGTGTTGGGCCGGTGATGTCTCCACAGGCGTTGTGCCACCACCATGAGTAGCAGCGCTTGCAAACTCCAGGTCATGAATTCCTGCCTCTCTGTTTTTCAGGCTGCTGTTTCAAAAGAAAAGGAAGAGCTGATATCATCAACTTGTTCTTACACTGTACGCCTTGCTTACGATACAGAAACTGATTGTTTAATTGTCCACAGTTCAAAGCGTCCCACCTTTAAGTCCAATTGTAAAATTTGTTATTGCTACTTATTTCTCAAGGAAATGTCTTCTCCTGCTCTGGATTCTGCAGGATCTCTTGTTTTGTCTCTGTAGACATCTCGCATCTCTCCCGAGAACAGTGCTCCCCAAGCTCCCAGCCCCATCCTGGCCCTGGTTGTCGCTGGTAGATGTGGACAGCTGTGTAGGGTGTAGCTGCATTGTGGTTATGCTCTCCATCCTGAACCTCATGGCTTCCCAGGTCTTTGAAGCTGTATCTTGGTAGAGGCACTGGGAAAGTGAGGTCTGTGGTGTGTGTTTTTGGATAGGGGTGTGAGTCAGTTTTGGAACGGGGTGCAGGAGATCAGAAGGAAGACGAGAGTAAAATGCCAGTGTGTGCCCAATGCCATTTTGCAGGGTTGTAATTGGTGATCTCAAAGGGCAAACGTCTCAGACATGGCAAGGATATTCACACAAGGGTGCTGCCAGACTAAAGTGCCCTCTGAAGTTCCCCTCATGGGCAGCAGACTTAATTACACTTCAAAACCTTCAGAGTGGTGTATGTTTGGTCCTCTGGCCCCAACACCAGAAGGGTGCCTGTAGGGACAAGAGAGATCTTTTACTCTCCTTGGTTCTCTGTGATTGCCAGGATCTGGCTCAGCCTGCCGTGTAACTTGGAGTGGCCTGGGGGATGCAGAGGGTGTTGGGGAGCTTCCCACAACACCTTCTCCTCTGGCAGGGTATCTCCTTTAATTTTCTAGAGCAATTCGCTGCTAAGGTATACAAGAGAATGACAACAACACTCAAAATGGATGCCTTTGACTCGGCAGGTCTCAGCAACCCTCTGGACCAGCTGCTAGCAGCAGGAACTCCAATGCTAAAACATGGGCTTTTGCATTTTCACCCCAAAACGTGGTGCACACATAGGCTGTAACCAACCGCCCTGAGGAAAGCTCAAAGTCAAGTCTCCTTCAAGGAGACCGACAGCCATGTACTCTACCTAGCACTGCCATCTGTTTTGAGAACATCTGGTCTCTGACCACTGCTAAAATTAGTAAATGTAGCACAAATGCAGTAGGGTGTCCTTGTTGGAGGGGTCGGAGATAAAGCTGTGCCTGGGTGAGAGTCACAGGTCATCTTTGGAGACTAAAGAGCAAGGTAATCAATTACCACAAGCCTGCCTGCAGGCCTTTTGTAAATCTGGCTCCTTTCCATAGTAGAAATAATAGCCATGTCCTTTGCCAGGTAATTTTCCAAATGATTATTTTAAATAATACGTTGCTGTGATCCAGCAAAAAGGGTTTCGAGATTTATTGGAGCATTTGTCACTGAGGGGAAGAGCAGCCGGTGAACTCTGCGGGCTGGCAGTAAGCTGCACAGGCCAAGTGTCACATAAAATACTCAAGTCTCTAATTGCTCAGGTCCACTCTGTGTTTGCAGAAATGGGAGACAGAGATATACATCTCGCCCCTCAGCACCGGCTGCCAGCATCGCAGGTCACCGAGCAGATGGTCCAGGAGCTGCTCTGAGGTGGCAGGAGACACGGAGGGGGTGGTGGTGATAGATTGCTCTTCTCCCCTCCATGGGCAGGTCTGCACAAAAAGCAAAGGAGGTTGTCTGGGCCTGGATCCGTTGTCCCTTCCCCGTGGTAAAAGCTGAGACAGACCCCTGTTTTAACAACCTGGCTAGAAACTAAAGCTTGTGGCGTTGCATAGAAACTGGTCCAACTGAGCCTTGGAGAACAGGCTCTTACGGGTCTTTCAGGTTACTCTGGCCATGCGCCTGCTTTTATTTCATTTTATTTTTTAATGGCAGAATCAGGATATCATAAACATTGGGTGCTCTTGTCATTTCTTTCCCATTTCTTGCATTTTGGAGTGGAGAGGGAAAATCTACAGTTGCTTTAAGACTGATAAGTATATATAAACAAATACCTTGACTCTTTTTCCTATTAAATTATCTTTCATGGCTTTGTCAGTGTTGAGGAGGGGCTTCTAGTGGGATTTGCCAGAGTGAAGTAGAAGAGCCTCAGTGACACTGAGAATTAAGCTAGTGGTTTAGGAAGAGAAAATAGCACACACTGATAGAAACACATGGCAAAAAAGTGCATGTCCACTTCCTAATAATGGCATTTTCTTTCTCTTCCAGGTTATCTTGCACCCCGAAACCTTCCTAGTGCAGGCTTCTTCCCCTTCCTGCAAACCGTGTTGTGCGATTCAGACGCCAGATGTAAAGGCACACCGTACACCCCAGAGGATCTGCTGCCAAGGCTTAATGACATCTCATCTCTCCGACTGTAAGGGATTCTGAATATATCCGGGTGTTACAAGCTGTAAAGCAAAGCTTGCTTCGAGGTGGAGGGAGCAGCCACACATGTGTGTATGTGCAAGTGTCCACAACGGATACATCTCACGTATCTGGTATAGCAGATATAATCTGAACACTTTGAAATGAGAATATGGGCTGCAACATAGAACGCTTAAAAAATACCCATACTAGGGACAGCTACTGGTAATGTGTCAGTCGATCCAGGCCGGAGAGTAGAAGAGAATTTGACTCCCTGAGAAAAAGCAAGATCAGGGCAAAGAAACATGTTTTGAAGGATTGTGGGTCAGCTCCAGCAGGTGTCAGTGGATAAAAATTGTACCAGGAGCAGCCCAGCATGCTGATCTGCTGCTGTGGTGATTGGTTTGGGATGCTTTGGGTGGAAGTGGCGAGTGTTCCCCAACGGCTCTAGTTTGAGGTGCGCTTGTTCTGGAACGACTGCTCTTTCAGTAGATCCTGCAGGTGCCAACCGGGATGATTGTCCTCTCTGACAGCCATCAAACATACCGGGAAACACATGAAAATGGAGAAACAGTTATTGCCCACAGAAGCATTTGCAGCGTGGAGCTGGCTGGGCATGGTTTGTTGGAGTGTCGGTTTGTTGAAATTGAAATGCTCAGTGGAGGCATTTCTGTTTCACTGATGTTCCAGTTGAAACCAAGTAGCATTTGCTTTGAAACATGCCAGCCAGGGTTGTTCCTACACCTTCGCTGCCCAGTTTTGGCACGCCCCTGGGGAAGATGCTACTCTGAGGCCTGGCTGGTTACTGGAGAGCTGAAAATCAGGGCAGCTTGCATATAAGGTCCCTGGTTGCTCATCTTTGCTTTCAGGTGAGAGGCTGCACTATAGTAGCTATGTCAGAGCCTCAATATCCCCCTTGGCCAGAGCTTGAGAGTCTGAAGAGTTAAGGTGGGCTCCATGCCTTCCAACAGAAAGCCCGTCAGGCAGGATGGGAGTCCTGGAGTTGGTGGCTCCTCACGGGTCCTCCTTAATCAGTGCAGAGGGACTGGCATTTCCTGGGCCAAGTCAATGGCCAGGATATCTCCATTGGTTAGGAGGAGTCTGGATGAGTAAATCTGTGGATGACTCAAGTTATGCAAGGTGAATCCTAATCAAATTCAAGGTCACGCAGCAGAAGAGGGCAGAGCAGCACAGAGACTGGATGTCTGGATTTACAGCTCTTCACTTGTTTCCTCAGTGTCGTTGTTTTTCCCTTGGCACATTAAACAATGGTTCATCTGGGGCATTGAAATGAAGAAATGGCAAGTTCTGGCACCAAAGCTGGAGGTCTTCCATGGGTTTCAATAGCTTCAAATCCTTCTTGCTTTCTGTTTTTGGTTTCTATGCAGCTGTTTAGGAAATAACAGGTTTTTCCTGCCAACAGAAAATCAAAGGATTTGGCCAAACTGTAGCTCAAGTCACATGAGTCGTTAATAAGCATCTTGACCACTGTGGATGCTAGAAGTTGGCTGTGTGAAGTATCATATAACTATGTGGGTATACCTACCCTTGGGTGATCAGTGTCAGCCTTAGAAATATATTGTATTCTACACAAAATAGTAGAATAGTAGCCACAGCAAAACTAGAGGGATACAGCAGAGTATAAAACCTCAGCAGAAGGTCGCCCGGGTAGGGGACAGCTCCTGAAGGCAACACGAATAGACACAGCTCTGCCTCAGCAGCAGAATCACCACAGGGGCGTTTGTCACAAAGGCACATTATTGGAGCTGTGACACTTCACTCTCTGGATATATGATTGTGTAATATTCTAGAGTTTGTAATATTCAGCTAATCCAGACTGGCTTTTTCCCCTCCCATTGTGCAACTCACTGAAGCTCTTATTAAATTGTTTTATAACTTGCCCTGAAACTGTGTCTTACCAGCGGGCAGCAGAGAAAATGGGCAAGGTTCTCATCTTTGATTCTGCTCCTTAGAAGCATTTACCATGGTGTGCAAGACATGATGGCTTGAGATTTCCCTTAAAAGGCAACTGAGTACAAAAACTGAGCTCAGCACCAACATCTTCAACGCTTTCTTTTGCCCTATAGTGAAATGTTTGGGAAGGTTTAAGTAAGGTTCTGATTTCTTGGTGGGGGCATGCAACGTGCTGTTACAGCTTAGAGCTGTTCAGGCGTACATCAAGGCCTCTACGCTCAGTATGAGAATCACTGACGGAGCTGTGAAGTTCTGCACTGTTCCTTCTGCTGAGCATGTGTTGGTGGAGGACAGACGAGGATTGGGTACAATGAGGCCTTCTTTCCAGAAGTGGGAATTTGTTTAAGATTAGACCAAACACATATTTCAGGCCTTGCCTGTCCTTAGCATCCTTGCAAAGCAGGCATGAATGCGATCCCCTCCGTCTGTTCCACATCTGAGCGCTGCAGTGTGCTTCCCTAAAATACAGGCCAGGCCTCTAGAAGGAACAAGAATTTTGCACAACCTGGATTTCAACACACCTGCCCTGAAATCCAGCTGGAGACCCATTCTCAGTCACACAGTAGTTCAGCTTGAGCTTAAGCATAAGAAACATTGTGAGCTGTTACAGGTGTCTTTTTATTTCTTCCTTCCCCCAGGAAGCGGAGGAGCTCATCCCATGGGGCCAAGGACAACCATCCATCACCACAGAGTGCAGAGGTTCCTAAAAGCAGGAATAAAAAGGTTATTCACTGCTGTGCAGAGTTCTGGTCTTCAAAGGCTGATCTTTTAAAGCTCTCCGGACAGAGATGCAATTCTTAGAGCACTGTTAAGATGATTTATATGTTCTATACAGACATGTGGCCGTGGCCGTGACATTAGTGTAAATTCTTGGGAATAATTACAAGTAACTGTCTGTAGAAAAGACACTTGGAATTTGGCCAAGAAACCAAGATTAAATTGTTGTGTTTCACAGGAGCAATGCGAGATCGCTGGCTGCTTGGACATTAATTAAAGACCTGGTCATTTATGGAGTATTGTCCTTTTACTGCCCACAAATTGTCCATAAATCGCTTATGATTTTTTTCCAATGCATTTCTTATTCACAGTTATCCAGCAAATAAGCCTTCTTCTGCACCACAGCAGATATTTATTGTTGGTGATGTTCTTCTCTGATGTGATTCTCTTTCCTGAAGGAACTTTCGGACTTCAATTTTCCATAAAATCATTACAATTATTATTTATTGATGGTAATGGCTAGTACCATCCACAAGCCATCATGATGGATAGCCCTTTCTTCAGGGAGCTCACGATCAAATGAACGATTGCAGATTTACATTCTGTGGCCGTTCCGCTCCAGCCATTCACAGTTCCAATTAGCATTCTTGCCAGTGCGCTCACGCTTGGGCGTATGGGCAGAAAAAAGGCAGAACAGAAAAGGGACCGAAAACAGAGGCGTGAGCAGAAAAAACACAAATCAATGAACAGTTATGGGAACTGTTGACTTGTGTTGATGGCCGCGGATGGTCAGGGAGAAAATCAGTCTCCATCTTACTTTACAGAGTCATAGATCACAGATTCTAGCTTCTCCTGGTGTAAACTGGCGTAGCTCCTTTGGTTTCAGTGAGCGGGCGTGTTTGAGAGTGTAGCTCAGTGCAAGTGTTGGCTTTGGCATGTGTCAGCTGGGCACCTGGCAGTGTGCCACTGTGTATAGCGGGCAGCAGGGTTCCAGACCTCTGCGGGAGCTGTTTCTGAATAACCAGTACCACCCACAGCTGCCAAAGACACTTGGAGAGTGCTCCCTCACAGGGCTGTAACCGTGAGCCGATGTGGGCTTCCTCAGAAGGCAACCCAGCCCTCTTCCTGCATGGGGGAGCTGCAGGACTGGAGAAAAGAGGTGGAAATTAAAGTTGATCTGCAAGCAGATAGTTAAATGCTTTTAATTCAACAGTTACAGAAGGAAATAATGTAATCCAGGATTTAATTACATCAGAGAAAAACTTAAGTAAGTAATTATAAGATGCCATTGGCTGTACCTTTGGGAACAGATTAATAACAATGGCATGCCCAAAGCTGTAGTCAGCTCTCCTGTGTCATGGTTTTTGATGTAACAAAGAGGTTAAAAGACATAAAGTAAAATGCAGTGTTTCAAACTGTTATTGCAGCATTTGGGGATTTGGTATCTCATGGAGAAAAAACCCTTCAGAATATTTCATCACCATCCAACTTGACTTCCAGCATCAACACGTTCAACAAAATCCTCAGTTTTGGGAAGGTAAGCCTGTATTTGCATAATAGCTGAGTGTGAGAATTTGTGTGTCATCACATTTAAAGAGTTAAAAGCGCAAACTACCAACATACAGTTTTTATTGCTTTCGGATCTCCCCTATTATGTGAATGTGTTTTATTAGGGGAAGAGGAAGACAGTTATTATGGGTGGACTTTTAAGCTCTGTGGTAAATTATTATCTTCTAGCAGAAACCAGATAAACCAGACACCTTGGGACATAATGCCATGAATTAGCAAATACAGCCACAGACAGTACCCTGTGATATTTTGCTCAGAACTTGTGTGAGTTAAGATGTTTAGAGTGTGTTTTCTTTACATAAAATTAAAGATACGATGTTAGTGGCTTTGCTGTTGAATTTGTTATTTGCCCACAATACTCCTGCAATGGCGTCAGAGGCACTGTGTGTGTACTACGTAGCTATTGACTACAGGTAGGAGCAACTCCTTTGTAACAGAAACTTGGTACATGGACACCAGTACACTTATGGTTTTGTATTAAGGCTTACGAACACGCACACGTTCCTCTTTATGAGGAGTTTGAGGGGTTTCAGCAACACTGTTCACCACTTACAATTCTGTGTATGAGTGCTTGTAATGACAGAGCTTTTCAGGTGGCACTACTACTCCTTAAAAAACATCTCATCACTGTGTTTAAAACCATCCCAAATGGAGTATTGCTTTAAAGCTACCTTTAACATTCCATGTTGCTTTTAGAGCCAGACCAAACATTCAACTGCAGCAAATCTCAAAGTCATTCTGTGTGAGATCTTGTCACGATACATGGCACATCCCAGTCTCACTGAAGAGAAGATGGCAGCCAATATCCACCGGACATTCTGCTTTACCAACTCATCGCTTCTGGAGTCATTTACCCAAGAGTTCAGAAGTCAGCTCTCTCAGGTGAGTGCCTGGCGCCTTTCCTAATACCTGCAGCTGGTAGCTGTGTTAGTTCACACACGTTATTGCAGTGTTTTGGAGATAGAACATGATCCCACCTGGCTAGGAGTTGCTGTTCTCTGTAACAAAGAGCACGACGAGGCTGAGCTAATTCTTGTGAATGGGATTAACCCGAAGACTGTAGAGTTGAGTGTGCAGCTCGGCAAGGCAAGGACATCCAGCCATCAGCTAGTGAACCCCAAGGGTTCTCACCACATCTAGCTCTTGTTTCTCCTCCTCCAGCAGCAGCAGGTAGATAGAACGGTGTGAAAATGTGGTGTAAATAAAAATATTTAAAGTTAGGGGAGGCAATAAATTTAATCCTGTATTACCTCAGCCATATAACTTCATCCAATAACTCCTGCATCTGATCGAACAGTTTATGATTGAAGCAGTACTTGTCTTCAGGAAAGCTATATAATTAAAGCAAATGAATCTTTTAAACATAATACCTTCTTTTTTTTGCCAGGGTGAGGATTGCTATTCATTTATCTTGTATTCCTAGTCTTTGGATTGTTTGGGACATTGTGAATCATAGAGCTTGTCTCAACAGAGAATTTATGGTACAACCTGGGGTGTGAAGGTGAAGTACAGTCACTCTCTCAGTTATTGCCTGTCACTAGAGTCCTTCGAATGTATTGTTTGTAGGGTTGCGTACAAGTGCAGTGCAAGCTGAAAAACAGAAAGACCCACCAGCAGCAAGGGTTCTTGTTCTTAAGTAATTTCCTGTGTTGTTATTTGTTAAGGTGCAGCACAACCCACAGTACCAGGCAGTGTTCGTCAATGAAATGGTCTCATTCCTGATGCTCATCTCCCAAGTGCAGAATGACACCTCCCTGTGGCATCTCCTTTTGCTGGCCCCAGATGTGTTCCAGGGCAGCATGCAGCTGCAGGACATAATTGAATTCCTTCAGAATCCAAGCAGGTAAAAATACAGAAAATGCCAGGAAAGTTGGTGGATTGAACTCTAAGGTCATGTCACCTCTCATCTCGAAGAAAGGGTGTTTAGCTTAAAAGCATGGTTTATTTGGGGCATGATATGGCTCCATACTAATGCATCCCTAAAGCCTTCTGTGGCCAGTGAGCAGTGTTTTGCTTTTCAGTGGCTCTTGTGTCACTTTTTAAATGGAAGCTTGACATGCACTCTTAATTTTCTTCCAGCCTGCTTCCAGCACTTTCTTCTAGCACTGTCAATTCCATGGGCAGATAGAAAGGGTGGTGAGTAACAGCCACTGCCTTTGGTTGAAGAAAAGCCCTCCTGACTGGATAATAGGTCTGTCAAAGACAGCAGCTGGCTGCTTCATTCCAGAAGAGCCTAGAGCCAAATTCAGGTTGCTTTGGAACATCTAAAAAAAAAAAAAGGTTACCAGATATACTGCTATTTTATCTTTCAAGATTGATCCCGAGAAAGCAGAGAAGAGAGGGAGCCTGGTTCCTAGCATATGGGGCTTTGAATATGTGTGATTTTAAGAAGAAAGTACCAGTTATGTTCTTTTTCAGCAATTATATGAAAAACAGTGCTGGCTTAACTGCATTAACTGTGCTGAAATACCTGATAGTGTATGCAGCTAGGACAACAAAAACTCTTCTGGAATGGGCTTAGCCTTCAAATTCATTTCCTGGTTTGTAGTTGGACTAGACTCTCACTCATCTCTAGAAGACGTGTTACTCAAGAGCTTAGGGGACTCTGTTCCAAGTCATCTACTGGATATGTGACTGACACTGCTACAGATTACTCTGAATCATCCGATTGTTAGAGCACATGGAGAACAGTGAGCAAAACTGAGTGTCCTCAGACTTTGTTGTTGGATACATGAGAAGTTGGGTAAAGATGCCAAAAGAGGTTGTGGAAACTCTGTCACTTTGATTTCACCCAGACTTAGAGGGACTTGGTTTTCATCGCTGGCATCTTGCCACGGCACTTAAACCCCTGTCCGTGTCATATCTGAGTAACTTGCCATCCTGAATGGTGAGAACTGTTTGTAAGTCATAATGTCCTTATCCTTAAAATTGAGTCAGTAGCAGTGTAGCAAGAATTTTAATTTCATTCAGAGAAGTTTTGTCTGCGCTGCTATTTCAGTTACAGGATTATTGCGTTTGTTTGCATTTACTGGCTTGCAGAAACAAGCCCGGGAAGCAGCACTGTTTGAGTGGCCAGGAAGAATTAATATTTACTGTGCTGCCCTGCTTTGCTGTACAGCTGCAGAGCTGGGCAGAGTTATCATAGGCACAACAAAGAGGTAGAGAGAATTTCATCACCAGAACTGTGAAGTGCTTTTATGCCTGGCATCTGGCAGTGTAAGGGCATGAGCAAAGAGTTATTGCAAGGAGATTGCACAAATAGTGTTTTTAATGATGCTTACAAAAGCACATCTTAGCTAGCCTGGCCATGCCTTTTACTCAGGCAGTACTGACCTCCTAAGGAAATGCTGCACAGGGAATTTTTTTGTAGTATAAATCTGAAGATAAGGAAGAAAAAAAAATTGTGCTTGTTGTGACATCTGTATTAACCACGTGATAAACACCACAACTGTGAAACAGTAACTTTAAGGTCATGAATTCTATAGAAAGTTTAGGAGCAAATTTTATTACCTACGCAAACCTGATTTACAGACTGAATTCACAAATGCTCCTGTTTGTTGCTTTAAGATAGTTTTTCAGATAAACATGTAAGCTGAACTTTTTCTCTAAAGCAAATGTCTGTAAAAGCCCTGCAAGACTGAAATAAAAAGGCAGCAACACCACACTTGTTTGCTCCCTTCTGACCTGTATGATGCGTATCCACTTTTGGCAAGCCTATGCCTCCCTCTTCCTTTGCTCTGCCATTGCTCGACTAAATATGTCATTTATAACTGCAGATTCTTCCTCCCCTTCTCCCTCTAAGACTCTTGCTAACAAGCACCTCTGCAGAATGGAAAGAGAAAACCTTCATGGAGACATTACGTTAAATGAGGAGAAAAGAGGTCCCTGGTGCTCCGTTCTCACTAGCAGTCTGTTCCCATAAATCAGTATGTATTTATTCATGCCACTGAAATCAGCTCAGCTAGGTTCTTTGTGTATCACCTGGAGAACTTCAGGCAGGAGAGAGACTGTGCATTTCACGGTGACCCTGTACCTACAGTGAAGAGCTGCTCCTTATGCAGGAAAAGCAAAAGGGACTCATAATCATCGTGAAGTTTTCAGTAACCTGCACACATTGAGCAGTGTGTCTTTTAAATTACTTCCTCTGTGATACAATATGCCTGATTATCTGCTTGTTCTTTCCTAAGCCTGAAAAACATTCCTTGCTTCCCTGTCAGCCTAGCTATTACACTATAAAAGAGAAGAGAAGGAGAATTGGAAATGGTAACAGTTATTGGTGATTTCTTCTTCCATACGCAGATGTTGTCCCCTAGGGATCCTTGCTCTCCCTTGAGCCTTGTCTGCTTGCTTCTTGCTTGCTTTTAGGAGGAGATTCACCCGCAGCGGTGAATCATGGGGCTGGCGTATTACCTGCCTGTTTTCTAAGCCCTATTGTGAGGATTTAAGTGGTCTACAGATTTTGCGAGTACAACACATACGTTTGTGCTAATATACAGTCAGTGCTTTCCCATCACAGCCCTTTGTATTCACATTTTGTGCATGATCAAACAAATAATTAAAAGTAGGGGCAATGGCTTGTCTGTCAGACATTTCAAGAGTGATAGGCTGTACTCCAGCTGTCTCCTATTTGAACACTTGTTTTATTTCTTCTCATAAACCTGTAACCACAATTTATCTTCCTTTTTGTTTTTGTTTGTTTGGGTGTTTTTCTTTTCCCTTTAGTGTTGTGCTGGCAGCTCAGAATGTCTCTGCATCGCTTGTGAGTGCTGATAGATTCCAGACTGTTCAGAATGGGGTTGCAGATCCTCCATACTCCGTGAACTGCCTGGGGAAAGGTAAGACTCCTCCATATAGTCGTATCTCTGCTGAAAACCTGGGGTGCTGAGGAGAAGCAAACTGCAGGCTAAAAAGTAACCATACAGTTTGCATACTGTTCAGGGCCCAGTGTAATGAATTCTTCTTTCAACTTTTTACAAATGTGAATAAAATACCCCATTGCAAATGGAGAAGTGAAAAAACCTGGTTTTGTCAGTGGACAATGAATGGACATGAGTTTGCTGTCTCAGTGGAAATGGGGAGTGGTAATTTTTTACCTTGGGGTTTTGTTTGTTTGCTTGTTTGTTTTGGTGGAGGGGGAGGAGTGTAAAAATCTGCCTCTAGTTTTGGGCTCTGTCACACTCACCTCGGTATATCCAGGTGGGAGCTGCACAAGTGTACGTCAAGATTAGACGTTCCTCAAACCCCCATCGGCTCTAAACGCCCTGCAGAGGCAGAGTCCTTGGCGTCCACCTCTAACTGAGGTTGTGTGAATGGGCAAGGGAAAGGTACGGCATCTAAAAGCTACAAGAGACAGATTGGTAAATGCTGTCCATTCCCTGCTTGTTTCATGGAGGTTGTGGAAGTTGAGGTGGATAAGAAGAAAGCAGATTAATGCAGCTCAAGTAGG